CCCCGGGCAGGGGGTGGGGGGGGGGGAGGGAGGACAGGCCTGGGCCCAGGCCCAAGGCAGGGGGCAGGCTATACACCGCTATATCTATCTGTCTATCTGTCTATTAGGGCGGTGCAAAATTTCTCCCGCTGTTGGGTTTCAACATTGTTTCAACTAGTTTCGAGCTCGAAACAGCGAAATCGAAATGAAATGAAAGGCTTCAAAACAGCCTTGAAACAAAATGAGGGCAGTCAAAACATTCCAAAACTTTTGAAACGTTTTGAGTTTTGAAGCTGGGCTTTCCTGCAGGGAAACAGAAAGTAAGGAGAGGGGGAAGAGTGGGGGAGGACTGCTCTGATATTGATTGTGTAGCTGGCCAGTGACTGTGATCTTTCCCTGAGGTCCCTTCCAATCCCAGTGCTCTGGGGGAGGGATGGAAAAACAGCTTAAAAAGCATTGTTTGAACTGAGCTTTCTCTGTGCCTTCACATTTACAAGTGACACAAGTTTTGCTCTGAAAAGTTTGAGCTGCAGGTTCCCAGAAGCCCCTTTACCTATCTCCTTGAAACTTGGCAGGCTTTGTGGCCTGAGCAGGGGCTATCTTCCCTGCCAGTTTCATTCAAATCAGGCAAGAAATGACAAGGTTATAGGCAGTTTCATGCTTCCCCATTATAGCCTATGGGCAAAACGTTGAAACAGTGAAACAGTTTCAATGAAACAAGTTTGAGCTGCAGGTTCCCAGAAGCCCCTTTACCTATCTCCTTGAAACTTGGCAGGCTTTGTGGCCTGAGCAGGGGCTATCTTCCCTGCCAGTTTCATTCAAATCAGGCAAGAAATGACAAGGTTATAGGCAGTTTCATGCTTCCCCATTATAGCCTATGGGCAAAACGTTGAAACAGTGAAACAGTTTCAATGAAACGAAACAACACTGCTTTTGAAATGAAACAAAACTGTAAATGAAACGCTGTCCCGGTGAAACAGAAGTCGAAACAAAATATGTGTATGTGTGTATAAATGATAAAAAATATATATTAAAAAACACAAAATCTACATTTTTCCATGACTAAAATGAAACTTCTTCCTATCTATCTATCTATCTATCTATCTATCTATCTATCTATCGATTAAGTGAAGCTGTTATTATGATATATATCTATCGATATATTGTGTTTCATTTTAGTCATGGAAAAATGTGGATTTCGGGGTTTTTTAAATCAGAAAATTTGGGATTTTTTTATCAGAGAAAAACCAGGATCCCTGATCACATATTTTTCTTTCTCTTATTTGACTAAAAATGCTTCATTGTTGGGGCTGCACTCAAGGGGTTTATATACTTTTCCCCACTACTGGGTTGTGTCCCACTACTATGGGCTTTGAGTGAACTATCACTTTTCATTTTTGTGTCACCAGTTTGTAACTTAGTACAGTTACCTGTTTTCCCACCTTCTGTATCACCCTCTGTCTTGCTCTCTCTCTCTCCTTATCTTTTCAATCTAAAACTTAGTGTAGCAATGGGACACCTTCCAATGTACATATAAATTGAGTCATGGGAATAAGAAAACAAATATTTTCATGCGTTTCCCCTGAATAGTAGCGCACATACAAACTTGCTTGCAGAAAGAAATATTTGCATTAAGTAGAAAAGTATTGAATGTTCAAACTACAATTAAAATAGAATTTAATAGAATCATTTTGACATTTTTTATTCAACTCACCCTGTAAAGGAATCACAGCTATATTGTCTTGAAAGGTTCATAACATTATCAACTGACTGATATACCTGTATGTTTTGTAGAAACCTGACCCCATATCCGGAAATGGTTACTGATACTACCATTTAAGTTGCATGTTTATCAGTGTGTAAAAATTATTGTTATGGTAAAGTATGGCCTTCCTGTATCTCACAACTGCGTGCACTACAACCCTGAGGCATGCTGTGCCATTATTTCACAATGGTATAGTCTGTCACCTTGTTGTGTGATGTGCTGTGTCATCACTGGAATTTAGGTGAGACAGTTTGGACACAGTATGTGAAATATGTACAATAGAGGAACAGGATAAATGTTAAGCAATGTTAACAGAAGAACAGAAGAAACAGCTAGATCATGTCACTCTTGCACAGATGATATTGTAAAATGTCAGATATGTCCTCATATTTGTTGGGGTTCAAATATTTGTAAATTGGCCGTTGAAAGGTATGCCATACCCAGCCAAACAACTTTGATATAATTGATTTATTGGTGTAATGTTGTATACCTGAATACTGTATAGAATTACAGATGTAGTGGTTACACCTAACTAGTGTAGAGAGGTATGGATCAGATACTGGTGTCTGCCGCCTGCTTTATATTTCTTCACTAATGCAAAACAGCTGAAAATCAATATTCAGTGGTTTCTAGATGATGAATCAATGGTGCACACCTGGCAAGGATGTTTATACAATTAAGGATGTTCATGTGGCTGTTGTATATAATTAAAGATATAAAGGGCCTAGCCTGAGGAATGGGTGGAATTGCCTGTGAAACCTGTATAGAATTTCAAGAACAAATGGGTTCCTGTAGATATTAGAAATATATATGTATTGATTCACATTTATGATGCATCAAGATTTGTATACAATTTCATTATAGTCCTGGCTGTATTATTAGTGGAATCAGCATTTCAGACCTTAATGGAAAGAATACCATTTCATTTGATCCATGGTCCAATGTTGCATGTCCTGCTTAGGGCATTTGTTGGCTAGAGCTGTGTGATACAGGGGTGTATTCTATTTTTTTGTGGACTTCTAGAGGTCCAGATTTGGTCTTCTACATGGCGTTATAAGTACCCCCTCCAAGCTAGTTACACACAGGTTGGCTTATATTGTGCACATGTAGCTCCGTTTGCCTGTGAAGATGGATGTCCAGGGTCTCCCTCACGTAGAAGAGGGTCTCAGCCTCTGTCTTTCTGACTTCTCATCAACCCCACAGGCTAACTATTCCAGCTGTTTTTCTTCTGGCACCTGACAGGTGATTTGCACAAATTATTTTAGGCTAGAATTAAGCTAATGGCTCTTGGTTATCCAGGTTGTAGCCGTATACAATCCATATACTTCTATAATTTTTTCTCCTATGTGTGATGAAAGGTGTTTGTGCCTGAAAGCTTACAATTAGAGATTTTTTTTTGCAAAAATCTAGTTGGTCTAATGAAAGATATCACCTCTACCATAACAGCTAATGGCTCTTGACTTTTGTATACATGTAGCTCTGGGGACTGAACAATACTTAAGTCTCCTGCATGGCACTGCAGAACAAACTTAGCTTTGAACTCTCTCCACTCATGCAGTGAGACACGATCAATGAAATTTGATTCTAGGTATCCCATATCACTCACAAAGCCTTCCCATACTACTTCCTTCTACTAACTGGAGTAAATTAGAACCAATGACACAGGAAAAAAAGACCTTTGTATCCTATCTGTTCATGAGCCACACTATCATCCCGGGTTATTTATGATGATGTTCTTCATGTGTGTGCAGGGGAAATTCCAAAGGTGAAGGACACGCTCACATTTTGCTCATCATGGCAGAAGATGTAAGGAAATTCACACGTATGCTACTGGAATGCAGCAGCAATGACCAACTATGTGGTAAGATTCAAGGATACTTCTTGTTTTACATTATCAGGTCTCATAAGCAGAACAACCAGGCCTAGATGGCTTAGAGCTAGATCCATTAAGTGGTTGAAGTGCCATGGTGTTGAGTATTGTCAGCATTTAGTTTCATGTAAGTCAGCCTGTTAAGTGAGAAACCACGATAACTCACCAGTCTGAAACTCCAAGAGCAGGGACGTGTCTTCAAGCCCCTTTTGGGGGCTGCAAGAAGATCTCTATCTCCTACTGGGATTCAGCACTCCAAGCTCTTCCCTGGATTTGGCCCCCATGCTAGTCCCTTCCTTCAAAACACAAGAGAAGGTGGAGCTGCTGACCCCTTTTTCCAGTGGTGCAGTGGTTAGGATCCCCTCAGTCCTGGACATAGGTTTATTTCTTCATATGTGTTTGTGCGGGGTTTGAACCTTTACCTCCTACTTCTCAGAAGAGTGCCCTAAACACCATACTAAAGCATGTTCCAGGGTTTACGGTACTCTCCACCCCTCCTATTAAAGCTGTTCCATATCACCTAGAATAATTCTATATTCACTGGGCCAGAGAAACTGCAACAATGTCTCTTGATCTTAGAGGTTAGGACATTTCCCTGGCAGGAGGTATAATTTGGTCCAGTCCCTGTTCCAAGGATATTTCAGTATTTGATATTAACTACCAGAGAAGACCATGGAATACAGATCTCCTGTCCTCTAAGGGAATGCCTTGATCACTAACCTATAGAGTCCTATTTGCTTACTCATAGTCTTACCCAGTCTCTCACACACCCTTTATTATGCATGCCTAGTAGAACAGCATCATCAGAAGGACCAGAGACAGCTCTTTAGCTTGGTTGGTTGTTAAGAGTGTTTGGCTGGCTGCTGGTTGAGCAATACAGGTTTAAATACCCTTAGGCAGAGACAGCAATAACACCTGTCATCTCTACCCTGGGTAGGTGCTCCATTCAGTGGGCTATTGGTTTATTGCTGTTGTGATTGCTCCTTCCCTACCCATTTTTTGTTTGGGGCCTGCCTGATTCTGTGGTTGTGATCTGACAGCAGGTACTGGATTGGGCCTTGCAAGTAAGAAAGGTAGAAGAGTGCCTAGTTTCTGCATCCTGATGGAGCATAGGCATGACTGCAGCACCAAGCTGCTCAGCCTCCTCTGGGCTTAGAGGGTTATGGACATGCACAGTTTGAAACATTAGGGAACATTACTGCTGAAAAATGTAAGTGCCTTGAAACTTCAAGCACTTCCAGGTAGCTGAACAGAGGGGCTGAGGAACTAAATTTGGGTCGTCTTAGGTGCAGTTAGATAGGAATATAAGTGTCTAATAATGGCATATACACAGCTATAAAACTGGAGTCTTTGGCACTTAGACACACACTTTCAGATTCTGTTGAGCCTGTGGCAAAATAGTCACCCTGCACACCTACCTGCCAGAAGCAAGATGGAAGAGGAGGATGAAGTCTCTCCTATGTTTTAGCTCAGTCGCCTAGTGGTTGGGGCACTTGTTAATGGAACAAGAGACCAGCTTTTAAGCTATTCCTCACCCAAGGAGTTTTGAATCTGCATTTCCTGCTTCCCAGCATAAGGCTGAAACTGCCAGTCCATAGATTAGGCATTAGCCAGACCGTTCTTCAGCCCTCCTCTTGAAGGTGACCCACTGCTCCTGGCATTTACAAGTCATTAGATGAGATGGATAGAGAACTGTAGCTGCCCTATTGGGAGCAAGGGGCCTTAACCATCAAAGACAGCATCCAACTAATTAAGCCACATACTCTGGCTTAGTCTTTTCCTCCTGGCCCCACCTATCTCCATCCCTTGAATGTCCTTCAGTGGGAGAGCTCTGTCTGGTACCTTACCTGTAACCTAGTGGTTATCTCAATTTGATGGCAAGCAGGAAGATGCTGGTTCAAACCCTCTGTAGGCTGGGGAAGCACCTAGAACCTGGGTCCCCTATGCCTTGGGCAAGTACTGTAGCCTCTGGACTCTTAAGCTAAAAGCTGGGAGGGTCCTCTTATCTAATGTCTAACAACAGCTAGTCATGGATTTTTGTCTGGGTACAGTTTTGATACTTACCCAGCCTTGAATGTGTACCTGGGTAATGGCAGAGCACTGCATACCTGCCTGGCTGGAGTACAGCTTGCTGGGTTTGCTTACTGGATGCTTGCACACCCAGAGCTGAATGGCAAACTGTGTGTAGGTGCCCTAAACTGCAATTACATGACTACATATATACCATTTAGGGCACGTTTCTTGGATTGGTATCTATAATAGGGAAGTAGGGAAGGTGGAGGAGAGGAATGCTAGGGGAATAGTGGATGGAGATTTCCTGGTACCAAGATGGGAGATGTAACATCCCAGCAATGGTCAGCATGATGGAGGCATCCCAATTCTGCCAGCTCTGAGTCATCCTGATTCAGCTTTATATACCACATTACTCTGCTCTGGAATGTAAGCAATAAACATTGCACTAGCATTTCCATGGGGATGCCACACAGCTCTTGGCTTTGCAGCCCTGCTGATCTACCACAATTAACAGGGGCTGGGCCTGGATGGTATTTGATGGGACACTAACATAAGACAGTGCCTAAAAATAGTGATAACTGCTATAAAAATAGGCAGGTGTAGCTAGACCAGGATGGAAAACCCAGCTGCTGTAAGACATGCTGCTTTTGACACATTGGGGCAGGGTTTTTCCTCTAGATTATTACTGAAAGCAGCACCTTAAGAGCATGACTGGGGGAACAGTTTTGCAGACGAGGCATAAAAACGAGGCCTTGACCATGTGTGGTCATTAAGGATCTTCTAATACTTTTCCAGAGACCAATACTGTGAGGTGCTGAGTCCCACCCACTCCTATTAACTGGGTACTGAGAGTTGCCATCACCTTGTATGAGAATAGCAGCACTTACAGTATGGGACCCAAGAGAGTAATGGAGGTTAACCTGGGCTTCCTGGCCAGAAAGCAAACCAGTTAATTATATCCTGCTTCTCTAAAGCCATGTAGTACCTCCTGACTGTCAATGGCTAATGTTATTCACTTCACCTCCTGTGACAATGTTACATAGCATTGTTGAAACAGAATGGTGACCAATCTCACGTCCAGAGCCAAGTCCATTTTAGATGTAAATGTTCCTTGTATATCCTTCTCTCTCTCTCTCTGGGATATATGCATATATTGTGTGTGTATGTATGTAATATATATGCATGTGTGTGTGTGTGTATGTATACAAACACACACACATATATATGGGATAAAATGTGCATTCTTTAGAGCATGGTGCTAATAGTGCCAAGGTTTCATCCCCTTAGGGGACACAAGCCCTTTCCTGTCTCATGTAGGGGGCTGGACTAGATGGCTTCTGGAGGTCCCTTCCAGCCCGACTTTTCTATGATTTCTGTTTGTTTAAGATTTCTAAATATGTAGTCTGATTGTCAGAGGTGCAGAAATCTCATTGACTTCAGTGGGAATCTCATATACTCAACACTTGCAGAAGTCAGATTAACAGCTGATAAAGGTGCCTTGATCGTATTGCAAAGGGCACACTACTTTTAAAGTTACTGGAGTGTATTATTACTTGTGCACTCTGTGACTCTGTTAAACAGTACAATGGCCAGCCAGCTATTGTTTTCTATTTCCCCTCTGCATTGACAGTTGTGCGTGAATACCAGACTGAAGTGATCATCATTCCAGTTTTCTTGGTGGGCATCTTTGTTATTGTGTTAAGTGTGATCCTTTGGCTCCGTTACCAAAGCTGGAAGACCAATCAGCAGCAGCAGCAGCAGCAACTGGTACTGCCTGGACATGAAGGTAACCTCCAGGGGGTTCAGAACAGGGGAGTGGGAGGGGGAGGCTGGATTTGGTTGCAGTTTCTACCTCCTGCCTTTCCACCCTATGGGCTGTCAAGGAGTAAGAGATTAAAAAAGTCTGAGCTAGGCTTTCTGGACTTGTCCACATCAAGAAAGGTGGTACAATGGTACAACTCTATCAGTGTTTGCAATGGTGGAGGCTTGTAGTGAGATGGAACCTGGGTGTTTAATCCATTGCAGGAGCTAACCCTGCTCTGAGTAACAGTGTCGGCCAGCTGTAACACTGCTTGAAGGTCAGAGATTTGTCAACATGAAAATTGCCACTCTAGAAATACATTAGTGGAGAAATATGGCCCACAGTTTTCCTAACATAGACTCAGACTTTTAGCTAGTATTCTGTATTGTTCTCCAGGGGATGTGATTTCAAGCTGCAGGTTCTTGCTTTTTTTTAAGGGCTGTATAGGCCAGGAGTCTACTGAGGTTGGGCCTAACACTGCTGGAGGTTAGTGCTGTACTATGCAATGCAGAGGGTTTTCTACAGCTTCAGTTTCCCGGTGTAGGGCTAGGAGCACAGTGAGGCTGGGTCTGAGGGCATATCCTGCATAAGAAATATAAATGTGATTTCCAGATACAGGTGTTTCATGCGTAGGGGTCCAACTGGTAGAAACTCAAAACACTGTAGTGCAGACCAGATAGCAAGAAACCCATATCTTGGCTTCCATACAGAAGGAAATATTTACATTAAGAAAGACCAAAAGTATAAAGCATAGAGTATGTCCTACTTCATACAGCTGTCTCCTCTCTAACAACCTACAGTTACTTGCAGAATAAAGTAGCTGTTGCTCCTGCACATGAAGAAAGTCCTTTATGCATAGTGATATAAAAGAAAAATATCCAGAAAACCAGGGTTGTTTTATAGTTAATACAGCTGAGCAGAAGTGTCAAATGCATTGCTCTTGTGCTGGATTGGGATTACAGAGCTGCTTCATCCTGGCAGGCCAGGGAATTTAGGGGTGAGCCGGGTGAGGGGTGAAGGTCTACTACAGAATCCATGCAGAAGTGCTCCATGCATGTTTTATAGTGCTGTACTTTAGAGCTTTTTATACCAGTATAAAGTTACAGCACTCTTAAACATGACAGAAGTGCAGTGTGTGGTGGTGGTGGTGGAGAGAGGGGACTCTGAGCCTCCCTATGCTTTCAGGGCTAGGAGGCAGAGGGTGCTCCGCAGCCTCCTGGGGTTTCTCCACTGGTCAGAAATTTGACCACCACACAGAAGTTATATAAAGTGCAGTAGGTTGCTAAAGTGTTGTAAAATACAGCACTTCAAATTTCATACCTCATTTAACAAGGATTAATTTAAAGTGCTGTACCCATTTTTGAAGCGCTGTAAAGTTGTGCAGTTCTGTTAAGTTCATGGCAATAAAGCACTTTAAATGGTGAAAAAAGAAACACCCCAGGGCTTTAGCACCCTGTTGGACATGGCTGTTAGTAGCAGGGGCCAAGTGAGCACTGTGCCACATGTGCCACCTCGCTCTCCACTTTTCCTGTAGCTGCCAGCTCTGCTGCATCTGTGCTTGCCTTATAGATCTGATGAGTGAGTCCAACACTCCAGACTAGAGGGTTCAAGACTATTTCTTCTCCCTCTCAGTCAAGTGGGATAGAAAGCAAGATCTGTTGTATCCTCAGGGTACTGTATTTATTGAGGGCATGTCTTAATGCAATGCCATGTAGAGATACCGAAACCAGCTCTAAAGAAGGAAAGCAAATTGGCCAAGGCAGAGCATTGTGCTATTTTGGCTATATTGGGTGCTTGTACACGCTATGGGGGTTTAATTCAGTTTAGTTCTCCCAAACTGAAATGGTGTGGTTTTAAAAACCCTCTGTTTTCACCGCTTCAATTTAGAGAGAATTAAACTGAACTGAAACCCTGTGGCCTGTGCACAAAGGTGGGGGCCTGATCCTTACCTGCCTCTCTGGCGGTGAGGGTGATGGGGGCAGCTGCTGGCAGGCTGAGTAGTCCCTGAGCTGCGGGGGGACCGGTGCTTCCCTCCCCAGGTGGCACCTGGTCTCTAGCTCCTGGCCCAGGTGGTCCTGGGGGGCACTGCAGCTGTGGAGAGAAGCACAGGGCCCCTGTGCAGCTCAGGGAGGCAGGCTCCAGGGAGAGAGAGAGAAAAAAAAGATCAGGCTCCTTGCTGCTTTTTTTTTTTTCCTTCGGTGGAGCCTGTCTGCATGCACTGCTGCGAGGTCGCACAGCCCCTGAGCTGCGTGTGGCCCAGTGCTTCCCTCCACGGCTGCAGCACCTCCCAGGACTGCTTGGGCTGGCTTCCAGTGGGTGGGCACTGGCTCGGGGGCCCTCCTGTCATGGAGGAAAGCACCAGGGTCCCCTACAGCTCAGGGGGGTCACACGACCCAGCGGCAGCTTGCCCCCTCTCCCCTTCCCACTGCTGGAGAGGCATGTAAGCTCCATCACCCCTGAACCATCTCTGCTGCCTGGGACTGCCTGGGAATGGCTGGCTTGCCCCTGGGGCAGAGTGGCAAGGTGTCAGGAGGGTGGCTGGGTGTGCTGGCTGTGGGAGAAGGCGGCAGGGGTGGTGCATGGGGCACTGGAAGCCCACCAAGCCCTGAGTGCATCGGCTTCCAGCACCCTGTGCACTGTTACACTTTGTTAGGTAGCAAACTAAAACACCTTGGAGGTGTTTTATCTTGCTATGTAACCAAGTCATTTAAAGCACAATACACTACCAAGTGTGCAAACAGCAGCATCATTAAAGCGCAATATGCTGCCGAGCATGCAAACAGTAACTCCATTAAAGTGGTGCAAAAGGGCAATTAAACACCAGTTTTGTTGCATGTACAAAGGCCTTGCTTCTGATATGCGAGTGAGTTCATTTAGAAATGTCTTGGGTACTTCATTGTGCTGTAAAAAGAGATGTTTCTTTTCTGCAAGCCTTTGCCAGTATTTTAAAGAGGAAAGCCCATCCATCCCCAACACTTGCACCTTATATGTGTTTATTTTTTCAGTCAAGAGAGAGAGTCAGCAGGAGCCAAATGCCTCAGGGAAATCTTACATTCAGCTGAGTGAGACAACGGTGGAGAGCCTGCTAAAAACTGCTGCCATGACACTGAAGGAGCTGCAGATACCCCGAGAAAGACTCTCACCGGGCTCCTTGATGCTGATAAACACTGGCAGCTATGGGGACATCTACAGAGCAGAACTGCAGACTGAGAACCCTGGGAAGACTAAGGCAGTCATCCTGAAAACCTTGCAGGGTAATAGAGGTAGTGGGAGTATGCAGCATTTTAAACATCTCTCTCTTACCCACTTGTGTGTATTCACTGGAATATCCCCTCTTCTCTAGGGTCAGACCTATTTTATTGTCTAAGAAAGTATTAGATAGGGCTCTGAATTGCCCAGTCCCCACCCTCTGCTCTCTGCACATGTATCCACATTGGAGTAGCATCCTTCTGCCTGTCAGCCCCTCTGTTCCTGGCCTTGTCTTTTCTGCATAATTGTTCTGTTGGGACACAATGGTGAAGCTATCTGATGATGAGGCATTAGATAACATGTTGAGGAACATGAGGCTGCAGTCCATGTAGACAAGGGACAACTTGTACTCAGCATCAGGTCAATGAGTTGTGATAAAGCCTTGAGCTGAGGAGGATTTAATCCCAAACCCTACTTGTATGTTGAAGATGTACAGGGTGCATGTTGAGGATGTTTCATGGGTTTGCACTGCCTCCTTGTGGTGATACTTTTATTCCTTGGTGCTTTCAGACACAGCTGGACCCCGTGATGTGAAGGATTTCCTGGGGAGGATTAAGTTCCATCAGTCACTAGGCCAGCATGAGAACCTGGTGGAACTGGTGGGGTGTTGTATAGACCAGCTGCCGCTTTACATGGTCCTGAAGGAGTCATCTCTTGGGGACCTCTTGAACTTCCTGTGGATCTGTCGCAAGGTGAGACTGAGGAACTGCTGAAATAATGAATTTTTCAGGTTTGTGGCTGAACCAAGGTATCGGCAAAAATATTCACCTCATGTCAAGCCAGAACAGAATTTCTTTCAAATTCTTCAACAAGATAAAAAATAACCAAACAAAATATTTTGTGGGGGATGGGAGAAGGGGTGGGGTCTGAAGCACTGAAATGAGGTTTGGGTGAAATTTAGGTAACATAGTCCCAAGAAGTGACCTAGAAAACCTCAGTTCCAGCCAATTCAAAACCCATTAGCTGTCTACATTCATTTGGTGACTACATTTTTGTACATAAAGTTCCATAAGGCATTAAACCTAGGTTTCTGCACATGTATAGGCGATTAGGGAAGGCAGGTACCTAACATCCATCTAAAGGCCACTGTGATGCAGCTATGAGGTGGATCAGCACCTCAGCTCTGCCTGAGACCTTGAAAGGGCTTGATCTGCTCCATGGGGTTAGAGAAGGCCTTATACAAGCCAACTCAACACCATATCTGGAGGTGTCATCACCCCCCTCAGCTTTTGTGCAGTAATCTTGTAGATAAAGCATGTGCCCAGGTTTTGGTTACTGGTCTCAGAATTATTTTTTGCTTTGTTATCCAATGTTTGTCTAATGTAAAATTCATTAACAGTCCATAGAGCAATGACCAGAATTTCCCTGCCTGCTGAGTAGTCTAACTCCCACACTATAGAGCCAGAATCCCTCTTGCTTTTTCTCCTTCTGGCCACATTACTCTAGCAGTCTTTTGCACTATTAACCAAATACTTCTCTGCCACTGCAATGGCAGGTCATTGGCAGTAACTCTTATCTCCCCTCCTTTGGCCTGTGGCATGTTGTAAATTTCCCCTAGTGTTTCTGGTTTCATTCCTTATTCTTGTGTGAGAGAGCTGAAGCCTTGAGATTTCTAGGAATCTTTATGTAATTGTTTGTCTGCAAACACAGGGGACTGGATTCAATGCCTTAGTCCCATATTCCTATAGTCTGGGCTGCCCAGAGGGCCAGCTTCAGTAAGAGGGGTGAAACGTACCTCAAAGACAATTTTGTAGCCTTGTGATTAAGGTAATTTTCTGGGAGGTGGGAGATGTGTATTTGAAGGCCCTCAGGCTGAGGAAGACCTGGAACCTAGGTCTTACACTAACTAGGCAAACTTTATACCTGCTAGTATATTATGTAAAAGAATGAGGTCTGCTCATTGTGGCACCTATCTTCAGAAGAAGACTGAATCCCAGCTGGTTAGGAGTGACTAATGTGTAGGCCTCAGCCAAAAGACTAAACTCCAAGGAGGTGTGGAGCTTTGGAAATATTGTCCTTTGAAAATTTTTCCAAATCCCCCCGATGTTTAAGGTTTCCCACTAGCCAACTGTAGGCTGCTCCCACATAACAGGTGGGGCTTTTTGTGGATGATCCCCTGGAGGCACCTGACTCTTCCCATTGAGTGTACAGGGAGCCCAGGCACCTAACTCCATTTCCTCCCATCACTGGGGCCAGGCAGCTGATTTTTAGGTCTTGTAATGGTCAAGCTGGAGGAACCTGAAGATGTCTTTCAGGACCTGATTCTGCCCCTATAAGAGCTAAGCTTCCCAGGCACGGTCTTGGTGGGGGCCTGAGGAGCATTTGTTGCTATGCAGGGCCAGTAGGAAATGGACACAGAATAAAGAAGAACTCTTGCATGTGTTTAAGCACCAAATGTTCACTGAACACTGTGTGACATATGTCTGGTCAGCTTGTTAAGTATCCTTGTCATGTCTGGCTCTATTCACCTATCCAACTATCCATATCTATAAATATGCTTCTCTACTCATCTTGCATTTGTGGTTTATTTGACTATGTATATTTCCATCTCCTTTTCCAGTTCTCTCCACTCTTGTCACTCATGACATTTATTCATCTTTCCTCCATCCTTGCAACTCCATAATCTGTCATCCTTGCTATACACACTGGTCTTTAACTCCTACTATTCACCCAATTCATCAAAACCTTCTATCCATCACCTTTGTTTTTCAATCACCTATTCACCCTGACACCACTTCTGTTTGGGTGCTTGTTCCAATTCCCAGGCATTATCAATAGATGATAATCTAACTGTCCATAAACAACTGCTGTTTCAAGGTGAGCTAATAATGCTAATGGGCTATGGGGCATAAAGTAAGAGGGGTGTTAGAAGGTATGGTTCCATTTCATCAGAAAGAAGCTGGGGTTCACCCACACCTTTCCTCCCTGCTAGGATGTTTGTTTGATGTATTGCTCAATCCTTTTTCTCTAGGATGTAATGACAATGGATGGTATCCCATATGACCTCACTGAGAAACAGGTCTATCAAGTTGGGCAGCAAGTTGCAGCAGCTTTGGTAAGTCTGAGCAGATGTGGTGCATTTATCTTTCTTTTTGGCTTCAATTTTGAGGTTACAGGGAGCCAAAGAAGGAGAAATCCAGGGTTACATCCTCTAACATTAAGTGATTGTACAGGCAAACTTATCCTGCCAAAAATAATGCATGGTATTTTTACAGAAGAAACAAAACTCCAAAGGATTATGTTCCCTGTGGCTCCAGTAAGCAAAGATCCAGGGCCACCTTATTTTTTTAAAAATGTGGTGCTATTAACACTTGAAAGAGCAAGAGTTATTCTCATTCTACATCATAACAATCTATATTGTTTACCTGCTGTAATTTTACAAGCTGATATTTACTTTGAAAAAACAGCAGTTCCCAGGGAACATTAGAGTTTTACATTTAAGATTGAAAATGGAGTAAGTGATGGTTACACAACGAGGATGTGGAAGAGCTTGAGAGAGTCCACAGAAGAGCCACCTGTATGATCAGAGACTTGCAAGGCAAGCCATACGAGGAAAGGCTGAGGGACTTGGGTCTCTTCAGCCTAAAAAAGAGAAGGCTGAGTGGGGGCTTGGTAGCAGCTTACTGTTATATCAGGGGAATACATCAAGGGCTTGGTGAACAACTGTTCACCAGGGCATCCTTGGGGAAAGCCAGGAGTAATGGCCACAAATTCCTGGAAGACAGTTTCAGGATTAACACTAGGAAAAATTTCTTCCCAGTTAGGGTGTTCAGACTATGGAATAAACTCCCTTCAGATGTGGTGCAATCACCTACCCTGGAAATCTTCAAGAAGAGATTGGACAGTCACCTTGCTGGGGTCACCTGACCCCAGTTGTCTTTCCTGCCTAGTGCAGGTGGGCTGGACCTGAAGATCTTGCGAGGTCCCTTCCAGCCCCTTACAATCTATGAATCAATGAATATATGGTTCAGGAAGGGGACTACTCTTCCAAAAATCTAAGATCCTTTCTCACTTTAGAGAAAAATTTAGAGAATCACAGATCCAAACAAGTATTAGGTTCCTAACTCGCATTTAGGTGCTTAAGTCCCCTTTTCTCTAGGCTCTTTCCATTTTTTTTAGGCCTTTAATCTTTGTGTGTTAGACTTCTGTCTGTAAAAGGGGAATAATAATCCTTTCTGTCTGTCCTGTGTAATTAAACTGTAAACGCTTTGAGACCAAACTTTCCCTTACTAAGCATTTATACAGCACCTAGTGTAATAGGGGTATAATACTGGTTTGAATAACCAGGGGGCATGTCTACACATACATTAATATGCCGTAATTATGGCACATTAAGTTTAGTACCTGTAATTGCAGGGTGCCTGTACATGAGAGTGGAGGCTGCTCCGATGCACTGTAATTACAGTGCATCAGAGCAGACTCAATTAATTGAGTCTGCTGAAGCATTTTAATTATTGTGCTCCAGCAGCCTTCCCCCATCTCATATCCCCATGCTCAAAAATGGCAGTGGGGGTGCTTGAACTAAAGCTTGTCAAACAACCTTTAGTTCAAGTGCTGCAGCTGCCATATTGAAGTGTGGGGAAGCTAATACATGAGACACTGCAGCTCTTTAATTCACCGCCCCCCACATGTAAAAATTCCGACAGGTATTAACTTAATGAACTGTATTCTGTGCTCTTGCACAGTAGCACTGGCACATGGTTTTTTATTGTGAATACAAACAAAAATATTTCTCCCTGCTCAAAAAAGGCTTGTAAATTCTTCATGCTAAGCAACAACGTTCTAGAATTCATTATTAGGGAAAGCTCACATGCCCTCCTGTTCCTTCATCTTTAATCAGGAGACACTCATTTAAAGCTATGAGAGAATGAGGGAAAGAAGAGGCTGCAGATGAAATAAGAAAAAAAGGTGAAGCCAAGCCAAAAGTAACATGGAAAATTGAGGAGGACGATGGGTTCTCCTTCTAGTGGGCTTTCCCTCTGTTGTGCTCCTCTACTGGAAGGCATCTCATTCCTGCCACTCAGAAATTACAGAGGCTATTACCCGCCTGTTTAGTGAAAAAGAATAGTCTTTTCATTAGTGGATTTCACTTATATTAGAGAAAAAAGATGTCAGTAGGCAGATTTTTCCATTTAGTAGGAGTGGGCATCTTCTTGTTTAGTGGATTTTCATAAGGGCCGTGAATCTCCAGTGTGGGAGTTTTTTCCAACCCATTGAACGAGCAGTTACACCTCCCTCCCCTTCCCCCTCAACTCCTGGTTAATATTCTACACAGGTGACTACTAGTGGTGAAAGCTGTTTCCTATAGAACTTTGTCTGAAAGGCCAGAGGCCTCAAGGAAGCAAAAATTATGTTGCATTTTCTGGGCTTAGTCCCTGAAGAATATCTCTCTTCAGCCAAATGTTCCTCCTGCCATTATGCAGGTATGCCAGGTAAACTTGCCACACAGGTAGGTGCTGGGGCCCCAGATACTGTGGGTGGGGGTAAAGGGCACAGTCAAATTGAAATTTTTAACCAGCTAAGAAACCCACTGGACTCTATTTTTCCCCCAGGATTTTCTCCAGCAGAAGCAACTTGTCCATGGTGACATCGCTGCCAGGAACGTCTTGCTCCAACATGACTTCACTGCCAAACTCTGTGGGCTAGGCCTGGCCTATGAAACCCACACCTATGGGGCCAGGTCCATCACACAGGTTGTGCCACTCAAGTGGCAGGCACCGGAGCGGCTCCTGAAGAGACCTCCCAGCATCAAGGCAGATATGTACGATTTTCGAGGAGGGGTGAAACCTCACAGGGCCGTCCAACCTGACTTATCATTTTCTCTACCTGAAATACCCCTCCATGTTCTGACATCTGGTGTAGAGTGATTAATTACCAGTTCCATCTTATGACTCAACCCCTCCCTCCTACCAATCATCTCTCTAGCTCATACCCCCACCCCCCGCCCCCATATCATTATCATGCATTTTATAATTAGCTATCTTGTATTTCATTTGCTCTCAGACAAGGATGGGAATATAACACCTAACATTGCAACTGTAATTTTGTTTTTCTTGCAGATGGTCTTTTGGAATCTTACTGTATGAGATGATTACATTGGGTAAGGGACTAACTAAAACCCTAAGGGAGGAAGGGACTGAATATCTTAAGACAAAAGTTAGGGCCATGGAAGACTAAAGTTAGGTGCCTAAGGCTAAGAACAGGCATTGCATTTATCCCTGGACAAGTTGTGCCTCTGTTTGTCCCAAAACAGAAATATCCTGGGATTGGCGTGTACATACCTTGTCGTCTAATCAGGGTTTAGTGGGCAGCTGAATGCATTGTGGCTTTTATGCCATTGGTTTAATGACAGGCGTGTAGGTTGTAGCCGTGTTGGTCTAAGGACATAGGCAGACAAGGTTCCTTGGGTGAATCTGATATCTTTTATTAGACCAACCCAAATAGCTGGAAAATAATTATTAAGCAAGTTTTTTGGTTCAAAAACCCTTTGTCAGGCTAAGGAAGTTTCAGCAGTTGGAGTGTGCTCTTCCTGGATGGAATGAAAAGTAAAAAAGCCAGCGGCTGGGCTGGTATGCATACAAGACAGGCAGTCAGTGAAAATGTAGATTGAGGAGTCAGTGGGTGAGAGACAGGCGGCGGGGGGTGGGGAGAAGAGAGAGAAGGGGATGAAAGTGGAGAGATACCTGGGGAATCAGATGTCAGGCAGGTTATAATGTGTCATAAATCCAATGTCTATATTTAGTCCATGATTTTTAGTATCCAGGAGGTTGAGGAAGTGGAGTTCATAGGCTCGTCTCTGGGAAGTGTTTTGTAAGTTTCCTTTGAGGATCAGGACTGAGAGATTGGAGGGAGAGTGGTTTTCTTGTGAGAAATGTGCCCCCACAGGCAATTGGGTATTTCTGTCTTTGATAGATTTCCGGTGTGCGTTCATTCTGGTGCGCAGTTGTTGTTTGGTCTCTCCTACATATTTTCCATCAGGGCATTTGGTGCATTGGATGAGATATATATTACATTTCTGGAGGTGCAGCTGTAAGATCCAGGAATGCTGATGACTCTGTTGTGGGGTGTAGTAATAGCGGGGGTGGTGGAGATGTGTTGGCAGGTTTTGCATGTCTTGTCATGGATCCATACCGTGCCATGATAAGAAATGCAAAACCTGCCAACACGTCTCCACCACCCCCACTAATACTACACCCCATAACAGAGCCATCAGCATTCTTGGATCTTACAGCTGCACCTCCAGAAATGTAATATACCTCATCCAATGCACCAAATGCCCTGATGGAAAATACATAGGAGAGACCAAACAACAACTGCGCACCAGAATGAACGCACACCGGAAATCTATCAAAGACAGAAATACCCAATTACCCGTGGGGGCACATTTTTCACAAGAAAACCACTCTCTCTCCAATCTCTCAGTCCTGATCCTCAAAGAAAACTTACACAACACTTCCCAGAGACAAGCCTATGAACTCCACTTCCTCAACCTCCTGGATACTAAAAATCATGGACTAAATATAGACATTGGATTTATGACACATTATAACCTTCCTGACATCTGACTCCCCAGGTATCTTTCCACTTTCATCCCCCTTCTCTCTCCCCGCCCCCCCATCTCTCACCCATTGACTCCTCAATCTACATTTTCACTGACTACCTGTCTTGTATGCATACCAGCCCAGCCGCTGGCTTCTTTACTTTTCATTCCATCCAGGAAGAGCACACTCCAACTGCTGAAACTTCCTTAGCCTGACACAGGGTTTTTGAACCCGAAAGCTTGCTTAATAATTATTTTCCAGCTATTTGGGTTGGTCTAATAAAAGATATCAGATTCACCCAAGGAACCTTGTCTGCCTATTGGTTTAATGATGCAGTCTTGGGATCACTGTTCAGATGTACTTTGCAGTGCCCAAGGGGAAACTGTTAGTACTTTCTAGCTTGTGAACCTTTTTTAGTCTTTATCTTGGAACAACAGACACAGATGTCTGAACAATTGCACTTTGTTCCTGGATAAGACGGTTTATTGCAGGACAGATGTGGCACCTGCAGCCTGAATAAACATTTTCAAATGGGGAGGACATCCCCAGTTCCTTTTGGAATTCCTGCCAATAGGAACAGCTCCACACCTCAGTAAAACATGGCAGTGGTCAGCAACTTATGGGTGGTCTGGCCCATGGGGCCCACTGGATCCAGCACACAAATGTGGGGCTTTGATTGCGAGTGCTTTCTCTGTGCTGCCATGGGGAGAAGTGCTGGCTGTGGACAGGTGCTTGCCAACCTTCCTCTGACCTAAGGTGGGTCTTTCCAGCCTGCAGACGGAAAAGATTGCCTACCGTTTTTTAGACGCAATTACATTGCCTGGACGGCCACAAAGAAAGGTGGATCGTATTCTGCTACTTTAAGCAGCAAGAGTGCAACAAATAACTGTGGTATCTTCTTGTGATATCATCACCTCTCCCTGCTAGGAACTAGCATGAGAAACCTACAAGTCATTTAATAGGAACAACAGACTGGCCTCCAGGTGAAAATATTTTGTTGCAGCTAATGACCAGTGGCAATTAGGAACTGATGACCTACCCTGCTCCCCAGACTTCCTGATCCATACAATTTATTGCTAGGCTGGAACTAGCTGCCCTCCAGAGGGATGTGCCAAGCTAGAACAGTTGTTTACATGGACACACAGTGGTATTCATTAGGAAGGTGAACAGAATGTGGCTGGAAATTAGAATGGAGGATACTTGTGATCCAGAAGCATTATAATGCCCAGGTCCACAGCCCATTGTTTGAGCCTTTTAGCCAACCTGTCCCTACTGGTTCCGTAACTAGAATGTGTATGGAGGGGCTTCTTGTGTGGTTATTCTCATATTCCCCAAATGCAGGTGAATTTTGTCCCACATCTGAAAACTTTTCCCTTTTCTCTTGGCCTGATAAACCTGGGAAGGACCGAGAGAGAAGGGAGAACCACAAAAGGAGGGACTAAAAATCTGCAGTTCCTCTCTGTGGCCACACTGTCACCTTTCTTCCTTATGTTTATTTTCCTGTCGGTGGTTTTCAAACTTTTCAAACTTAAGGCACCCCTTGGAGAATTCCAGCTTGTAGTTTTCATTCATTTTTTTACTACAGAAAAATAATAGCTTTTTTTTTTCTATTGCAAAGAACTCAGAAAGACCACAACATGTCCAAATGCATGTAACATTATGGATTCCTATTTGAAATCACTGTGTTTATTTTGTGAATCATGTTTGCACACTTAACAGTGCTAATAATGTGTGGCCCTGAACACCACCCTTTCAAAGATCTCAAGTCACCTCAGGGTGCTGCAGCACCTTGGCTGAGAACTGTTCTATGCTGTCAGGCCTCTGACTGAAGTTCTGTTGTAGTAGCTGTGATGGTTTCTGACCCACAGGGTGCATCTACACAACATGTTTACTGCAGAATAAACTAATGAGCTCTGCAGTAAACATCTTGGCATCTACATGGACAGGGCTATTAGGCTGGAGTAAACCCTGCAGTAGTGCATGTGTAGATGCTGACCCATCTGGCTGGTATGAGGATGCTTTAGTAAGGGGGCTACCTGCTGGATAGCCCTGCACTAAAGTACCCTTGTGCCCCAGTCAGCCCTTCTGCAGCATGTTGAGCAGCATTGGAACTCCCCTGGGCTGGCAGGATGACCCCTGGACTCCCTGCCACCTGGGGCTGCTCCAACCTGGCTCAATGTGCTGTGGTCCTGGGTTCATGTGAAGATGTGGCACCCAGGAGCAATAAAATCTGGCATGATAAGCACTAGCGTTTGTGTTGCATTAATATGCTTGTGTAGATGCATCCACAGAGAAGCATTTTGTGTCTGCAAGCTTGTCTGTCTTCTCCCAACTAGACAGACGGTCAAATTATATTAGGTTGTTTCACCTCACAAGTTCAAGCCCCTGAATTTCATCTTTAACCAAATCAAATTCCTGCTATTGGATGTTGCTTGTGCTCTGTGCAATCATCTTATGCAGCCATCAGATGTCACCCTTGCACAACCTGTCACTTAGTCAGAGAGCATTTCTTAGAAGGGGCTGGGGAAACTTAGTTTAGAGCCTGGCTTGTCTTCTGTGTGTGTGGGGGAGGAGGGTTTTTTTTGTAGGAGCTGGACTCTGGTAATTGTTTTCCCTTGTGTTATTTGTTTCCTCTCTCAGGGGCTCCCCCATACCCTGAGGTGCCACCTCCTGACATCTTGCAGCATCTGCAGAGACGGAACATCATGAAGCAGCCCTCCAGCTGCCAGCCAGTCATGTAAGTGTGGAGGTGCCTCTTGGTCATCACATGGGAGAGTGAAGTAGGGACCTCCACAGGCAAAAGTGTGCACTGTTACAGCATAGGAGAAAGCTCTGGCATTGGGGCTGTGACAGTTCACATCCTCTGTGGACCGGGCAGAGAACTTTTGTGGGAAAAAATGTCTTTGTATTCTTATTCCTGGCTTCTTTTTCTTTCTTGCAGGTATGGCATTATGCAAACCTGCTGGCAGTGGAATGCGACTGACCGGCCCTCCCCTGCAGAGCTGCTCCAGTACCTGCAGAAAGCAACCAAGACCAGCAATGACCATGCTGTGCTGCAGGTGCCTGAACTGGTGGTGCCTGAACTATATGCCAATGTGGCTGGCATTGACGTGGACAGTCTTACCACTGACTACACTGTTCTGTGAGAGAGAGGTCTGTGCATATAGGAAGGACTGGATCTCTGATTGCCTCTTTCTGGGAGTGTATGAGACCACTCTTGCTGAAACTCAGGGTGCTGGTTGGGAAACATTCCCCCCTTTTTAAAATGCAGAACATATTTTGGGTTCTTTCTACTTGAAGCTACCTAGTAAGAACCAGGAGGGGCTCATGGTTCACCACCTTGGACTTCAAAAACACATCCTGTGGCACTCAAACTCTTCTGTATATTGTGATCAGCTACCCTGAAGGACACATGAGCCTGAAACAGTTGTTTTCGTGGTCTCATGGTGGTGTTCAATTAGGAAGCTGAACAAAATGCTGCTGGATATTTGAGTGGAAGACTCTTGCAACCCAGAAGCATTCCCACAGCATGAAGAGCATTTAGATGGTAGAACAATTTCTGTCAACCTTGACCTTTTTCCATTTGTGCAGGTGAGGAAGAAGAAGCAGCTACCTGCAACTCTGGCAGCTATGCAGCGAGCACATGAAGGCTGCCTACATGTATTTGCAGAGTACAGATACCAAGGATGGAAAGGAATTGTTCTTGTTCCAAGGAATGCAATTGGAAAGAAACTGAATGAAAGGGAATGAAAGGAAAACTGATGCTGACAATCATGAAACATTTCCAAAATGGAAGGGTTTTAGGACATCTTGCCAAAGGAGTGTTGGAAGCTCCATTGCTTGGATATTTAAAAGATACCCTGGAGAATAAAATTCAGCATCCAGCACTGCAGAGACCCAAGAGATAAAAAAGTGGATGGATGAGATGATAACCAAATAAGTATCTTTTATCTATGCCTCATTTATTGATTGAAGGACCATCCCATTCAGACCACTTGCGACACTGCTTGTTAATTGTTCCTCAGGTGCTGTAAGCCATAGCCAAGTAAAGGAAAATGTGCACTTTTATTGTGATAAGACAAAATAGCCATATGTTACGGTTTGGAATAGAAATTGCTGTATTCATTTACTACGTTTTTTCATGCAGGCCTATTTCTTGTTTGTGGGGTTTTGGATTCAAAGGCCCACTCCAAGGTAAAAAAAACTACAAAAAACCTCTACCCTGCCTCAAAATCTCAGGGAAAATTTTGACTGAGAGCTAATTCTGCGTGTTTGTATGTTTCTCCTTCCACACCCTTTTCCCCAGGAGTACTTCCAATTTCAGTCATGACACAACTACTGTGAAAAGGGCATGGGGATGATGTAGGTACAATGGAAGATTGGGCTACTGTGAAAATCACTGTGATGGAGAATAACTTGGTGATGACATCACTGTACAGATAGAGTGGTAACAGGCCATAGTTTGCAAACATCACATTGTGAATAGTGTGGTGAGGATATGCCTTCTGTGTGAGTAATACAATTCTGTGATTATATATATATATATATAAAGTGTAATTACCATGGCAATGAGATATTACCTGTTAGAACAGCACGCAACATGTCTAAGCTCTGAGCAGAGTGCCAATACCTAGATACGGTAGATCCAGAGGGAGTGCAGTGGTGGGATTGTACCCTGCTTTCTGAACCATACTGTAGGAACCACAGTCTGCAAATCAGGAAAGAACCCATCTCCTGCCCACTCTTGGCACGCCCTTTCTTCCCTTCCATGTTCAATGGCACCCTCTTCCTTCCTCCCGTTTCCTGGTCCCTCTCTCTACTTATGCATATGGTGCAGGAAGGGGTCAGGGAGACCCTGCCCACCACCACTGTCCTGGCCACCCCTGCCTTGCTACAACTGGGCTGCGTGGGAAGTGGCTGGGTGGGGAGCTGGGTTTGGCTAGAGACAGTAGCAGCAGGAAGTAATTTCCCCTTCTGGATCCACCTACGCATCTAGGTGTTCTGTGACAACACAAATGCTTTGGAAATAACTGAGATGATGAGGTTATGTCCAACTACCATGTTTGATGTCATGATTCAGTATAAGATAAGTGTGACAGAAGGCTTTGACCAGAACACTTTTAACTTATATGATATCTGTTGTGCAAATGGACACTTATTGTATATTTCAAGCCTTGCCTACACTATAGATTCTAGTTACTGTAGCTAAACCACTGATTTACATTTATGCACTGGTAATTTAGTCAAGATAAGGGTTAAATGCTCCTGTTCAACCCTCACTGCCCTAGTGTCATTTGTGTCCACACAAGGGGTTTGTCCCAGCACAGCTATGTTAATGGTTGAAATCTTAATATATGCCTAGTTTTCTTCATGCCAACTGCACCTCCCAGGTGCCTGCGTAGAACAGGGTTAAATCTTTTCAAATAAATATATTATGGATTTGTACCTGCTTTATATATTTTATAAATATTGACACACAAATTTAATCAGGAACTGTTTGGGTGTTTGATTCTGTTAAACATTTAAATTCCTACAAAGCTTGAAAGCTGCTCCTTTTCAAGTTAGCAGCATTTTGAGGATGCCAAAAGGGAGTGTTAACTGGGTTTGACCAGGGTTTTTTCCACTGTTTCTCTCTTGCTTGCAGCCTCCAGCAATAAGATCTAGGAAAGTTCTGATTCAGAGGCTGTATCCCTAATTTGCCATCATTTCAAAAGAAGCAGAATCAGACCCTGAATAAAGAGACCTTCCTTGCAATATTTTCATTGTCTCTCTCTTTCTCTCTCTTTTTTGTTTGAGCTCGAAGTAGTGTGAGGACCATTCTTTCTTCTGGTTAGATGGGTACTTGCAGCCAAAAAAGGCAGAGGAGGAACATGAAAATGATTATATTTTAGGAATAATATGACATGAACTTTTGGTTGGAAAGTTGGTTTGAATGTTATCCAGTTCACTTCACATTTTTACAACTAGCTTGACTTTGAAGCAATTGTATACATTTATGGGATATGATGAACACACAGGAATTGATAGAATCCTAACTACAAATGACTATATTATTGATTAGTGTTTCAAACTTGGGTTGGACCTAGACTTCATGGCTTTCTAGGGCACTGGAGGTATATCAGCATCTTTTGAGGTCAAGCATGAGGCCTGTCAGCCATGTTGAATTCCAGGAGCAGATGGGACTGGACAAAGGTTTCCTGTTGGAATTGACTTTCATTAAAAAACGAGTTTTCAACCAATTAAAATTTTAACTAAAGGTCTGCACAACATTGAGGCCTTCTTGAAGAATCAAGCAGTTGAAAAGTTTTGGCCAGAAAACCTAAATCCTTTGGCCAGTAATTTTTGGCCAAAAGTTTGGTTTTGTCCAAAGTTTTCAGTTTTTGGCTGAATACTTAAAGCTTCTGGTTTTCAGCAATAAGTCATTTTTCTCCTATGGCAAGGTAACCCATCTGAAGCCTATCTACAGCAGTTCAGTTTAGTCCAATTCTTCTTTGGAGTGTTGCCACCTCTACAACCTTCTCAAATATGTGGAGAGCCCAGGGCTCAGTTGGATGTAGAACTCCTTGATATTGCAGTCCTAATCTTTTGGTAACTGGCCAGGATCCATCAAAACATTTGAATTAATACTTCACTTTCCTTCAGATGCAATAGCATATTTTGCTTTCATAGTTTGATTGATATCACTCTCTGTGGTGTCCTTTACTTAATGGTGAAATTATTCTATTGGCTCCAGAACAACTGTGGTAGAATCATATCCTGCTACAATTTATTCCTCAAACAAGGCAATATGTAAAAAAGGAAAAAGAATATGGGTATTGCATGTTGGGAGTGTTATGAATATTGTGTAGAGGATGTATTGGCAGGGCCTGAGGATCCTTCTCTGACTGTTGGTGCCCAGATGTAGGTCACCCTGGTAAATGACCAGCGACGTGCTGCCTTCCTTCATCAGAGGTTTGGGAGTTGCAGGGACAAACATGCTTTAACAGGAAAGAGTTTCTGTTTGAATTTTCTGTGGTGTGACTAGCCCATAGCATGCTTTGCTGACATTTAGTGTGGTTTTTTTGTGTTAATGCAGACACGCAGTATGCCTGAACATTTCAGGGGTAGCAGAGTTGTTGATCAACTGAAAGTTTTCATAGCGTAAGAAATTTTAGCAAAAATATAGATGAAAATCCCTAAAAAGAGCAGTTCTCTCCCAACACTGGTAAATTTGAGGAACTTACACACATCATAAAAATCATTTGAGAACATTTTGCATGGATGTTATGAATTTTTATTTGGGAGGGCAAAACAAGGATGTCATTGCAAAAAGCCCTCTGGATTTGCCAAATATTCCCCCTGAAGTGAAGAGTCTCCCATGTCATCTGTTACAGAGGAATATTCAGAGAAAAGGAACTCCTTGGTTGTAACTTTGATGCGCTTATATTTGTATAGCTGTAAAGGGATGCCAGGATTCTGTTTTCCATTAAATGGAAGGAATTTACCTTTTTTGTGGGGGAGGGGCAGGGCTATGAGGTTTTTCTATTTTGTGCAAGGAAATCATTTCAGCTTTGAAATATCACAGAGATAATTGCTGTTCCCTCTTTCTTACCCATACTTTGCTTTTTTGCACAGTTTTAAAATATATCTGGAAATAAAAGAAATCTCCTCCAAAGATGCATAGTTGATTGCTGCATATGAAAGCCACTACAAGGTCCAGAATCACTGTTCACCGGCTTTCTAGCTTTCCTCCCTATGTTGATTAACTGTCAGAGCATGGACCAGTGTTACTGCCACTATAAGAGCCAGTTGCAGCACTGAAACCATCCAGCCCTGGAATAACCAATAACACAGATGTGTGGGAGTAGAGATGGGGCCTTACTGTGGCCATGCAAAGTGTTCACAATTCCCTTAGCAGGGATGTGTGGGGATAGAACACCTTGAGAGTGGACAGCACTGGCAGAAAAGGGTTCATGACCACCACAGTAGGGAAGTGAGCTGCTTCAGAAGATTTCTTAAGCATTCCAATAGGACCATGATAGCTTTCTCTCCTGCTCTCAGCAACACCGCAGTGTAGGTGGTAATGGAAACTCCCCTGCCTCCCAAGGGAGAGTGAATTGTCTGCTGGATGTAATTATGGACAGATCCAGAATTTTGAACAGGGGCATGTAGGTGGTATGGTACATCATCACATAACACAACACACACTTTTCTCTAATTAAGAAGACACTAGAAGCTTTACTAATACACTTTTAGCCTAAGGCTATATTATTCAGTTTAAGAATCAAGCAAAAACAAATATCATTGAGTTTGGGAGTGGGGTGCATGATGACTGCTAGCTCCAGGTTGGAGCAGGCACCCAGTGCCAGGGGAGTGAAGCTGTCACCCCCAGCCTGGCCACTGACAGAACTGGTTATGTGGGTCCAGACACTCCACCATGGCCCCAAAGTGCTGTTGCCCTGTGGGGTCAGACCAACTCTCAGGATCTCAATATTGTACTGTTAGATGGGAGGGTGTGACATAATTACACATATACAAACACACAAATCAATTAGGTGCGTGCGCACACACACACACACACACACACACACACACTACTAACTCAGGCACATACACATCCAAACCAGCCTAGGCACATACATATCTATCACCAGTTCAATCACATACACACACCAAAAATTAGACAACAATCAGTTGTCAATACTCACACACAGATCACTAATTCGTATATGACGCACATGATGACGTATATATTCACCAGTTCACACACATACCACCCACCTACACATACACACAGGTGAGTTCCTAACTTGGATGGTATGGTATGTATGTGTGTGTTTGGGGTACTGGGGATACCTGAGGGAAGGTTAAGGTGAGAGAGAAAGTGTAGGGAGTGAAAGTTGCCGGAACCAGGATTAAAACCGGTAGACTAGAGAGAAACTGGGCTGAGGAACTGAGGCTTGGGGTTACTTAAGGTCAATTGGCCCCAGGGTTACTCAAAGTCACTGGTGCAAGGAAAAAGCCCAGTGGCAAGGAGGAGACAGATAGGAAACAAACTGAGGCAGAAACCTGGGAGCTTGGGGCTGGAAACCGAGGCTGAAAGCTGGGAGTTTGTGTGGCAGATAAGTGGTGGCAGGGAGGAAACAGTCAGAAAACAGACAACCCCCCCAACTCGGGGTTTCAAAATAACAGGTTTATTAAACAGACAACACACTACACAGCCCCATGAAGTTATTGGTTCGCACATGTACATGCACACGCACACGCACACGCACAAGCACACACAATGGCAGCAGGAGAAAGAGACTTAATGGAAGGGCTGGAGTCCAGGTAGGGAAGAGAAACAGACTCCAAGAACTTGGTTGAAGAGGGGGTGGGGGTGATAGCTACCTATCCAGGCTGGAAAAGGGTCCTTGTCCAGCAGGTGTTGTCCAGAGCGGAGTTGCTAGCAGGGCCTCTGGATGGACAGATGATGTGGCGTGGTGCTGGTCCAGATGGAGAGGGCGTCCCAAGGAGTCAGTCTTCACTACCGCTTTTTATGGGGCAGACTACCTCTGATCTCCTATGGGGAGGGCCTGTCCAGGCAATGTCAGTCCTGGTCCAGAGGGCTCCAGGTGTTCTTACTGAGCATGTGTAGCCTTGGCACAATGGTGGGTTGCCTCATCTTTTGTTTCTTGAATGCTGAGTGTGGTTCCAAGGGCTGGGTTGTTGGTCCAGGTATTGGTTTTGATGGTTTAGTCATTCAGAGGGAGCTATTTTTACACCTACTGCCATTGTCTCTCAAGCACCCTCATTCATTCCCATTCATTCAGGAACCAAGTTACATTGGAGGGGTAGGTATGAGTCATAGGTTACAGAACAGGGCATGGGGACAAGATGGAGACTTGACAAACAAAATGGAAACTTGACATGACTTATGCTAACTTACATATGTAGGCCTAAATCATATAGTACCAGTAAAGCAGTAATATAGAACAGTAAAAATCAATATAAACATAATAATTATACAGTATAAAGAAGAAGAAAAAACAAAACAAATACAACTTGCTACCAAAACAAAATGCTGTAGCTCATCCTATGTCTTAGCTCACTTATACTTATCTATAGGGAATAGAGAGGGAGAGAAAAAGTCAGAAATAGTTGGGGAAGGGGAGGGAATGCATTTTAAAATTAAAACAAGAAAAACTGGGGGTTTTGCTACAGTGCCCCTCACTCCCTTTATGCCCATGACCCCCCACCCCCCATTCAGCCCCTAGAAGCCCCTTCCCCTCAGAATCCTTCCTAAACTGTCCCTCCTCCACAATGCCTCACTGCCCTTGACTAGTGGAAACAAAAAAATCCCCTAGAAAAAAGTCATCTAGTACAGGTTCCTAGGTAGTGACACAACTTTACTGCATACACTGGGGAGATAAGCGGCGAAAACATTATCAGGGGTTGGTAGCAGAAAGGATAATTGTAGAAGAAAGGATAGCTTGATTAGTGGAAGATCAAGGATTGTTATCTATGCAGTAAAGAGATTAGCAGGGATCAAGTAGATAATAATGGGCCATGGAGTCAACTGATTCCCTCAGCTCCACCTGAATAGAAATATGGCTGTCCCTACTGGATAGTTTGTTTCTAACTTTGACTGGAGCATGAATCAATGGGGAGTGTAATTGTCCCACCAATCCTGCCCCTC